GTATGAAGGTACACCCTAATGCGTGGACTTGTAGGTATGTATATATGTACTTGTGCAATTGAGAGCTCGTTGAAGAGATCAATGCACTTTGTACCTATGTACTAGTAAGCACGAATTATTTGTGCTGAAAAATGTTCTACGCAATCCTGCTTGCTTGCTGCAAGGGGTATTGCGGGATATATGCCAAAGTGGACTTTTGAATATAAAATATAAATTTAGTTTGAAACAATATGTATGCATATTGTTCAAAATTCTGTATTTTTTATATAATATAGTATGATTTTTATGAAATAATCCGCGGTTTATTTACCGAACCGTAGTTACGCGAAATGTTCCGATTGGTTTTCTTATAGTTGTACCCTATGTACATATATAGGGTATATAAGTATAAGCGGATTGTATACTCAATGTAATGTAAAAAAGCGAATTATGTATAATCGTAAAAGAGCGGGAGAGAGAAATTGGTAATAGCAGGTAATGACGCAATTTTCCGTAAGCACTGTATGTACGTATGTAAGGTAAAATACGATATGTGATATACGATATTTATATTTAAGATTTAATATTTAAAATACATATGTATGTATACGTAACTATGCACGCTGTATATAATTTTATATATGTAATTGTTATATATACGTTAGAAGTAAATATAAGTACTCTTTTTTGTACGCATATATATTTATACTCTCGCAACCTGTTGCTACAGAGTATAATAGTTTTGTTCACCTAACGGTTGTTTGTATCACCTAAAACTAATCGAGTTAGATATAGGGTTATATATATATAAATGATCAGGATGAAGAGACGAGTTGAAATCCGGGTGACTGTCTGTCCGTCCGTCTGTCCGTCCGTGCAAGCTCTAACTTGAGTAAAAATTGAGATATCTTTATGAAACTTGGTAGACATGTTTCTTGGTACCGTGAGACGGTAGGTATTGCAGATGGGCGTAATCGGACCACTGCCACGCCCACAAAACGCCATTAATCAAAAACAAATAACTTGCCATAACTAAGCTCCGCAATAAGATACAAGACTGTTATTTGGTACACAGGATCACATTAGGGAGGGGCATCTGCAGTTAAAACTTTTTTGTAAAAAGTAGGCGTGGTCCCGCCTCTAATAGGTTTAATGTGCATATCTCCTAAACCGCTACTGCTATAATAACAAAATTCACTAGAAGCAAATGTTTTTAGCACTTCTATTGACGGTGTGAAAATAGTTGAAATCGGGTGGCAACTCCGCCCACTCCTCAAGCACTAAACACGCCAGAGACATTAAATTTTATCTCTGAGATGGTATAAGATGACTTTATAGGAACCGCGTTCAAAATTAGACAGTGGGCGTGGCACAGCCCACTTTTAGGTGAAAACCCATATCTTGAGATCTGCTCAACCGATTTCAACCAAATTCGGTGCATAACGTTCTTTTCATGTTTCTATATCATAGTGCGAAAATGGGCGAAATCGGACTACAACCACGCTTACTTCCCATATAACACCATTTTCAATTCCATCTGATTCTTTCACTTTCCACTATGCAAATCAGGTAACAATGATTATATCGGGGTAAAACTTTGCGTGAATAATGCAATTAAAGTATGCCACCTTGCGGCCAAAAATTGTCTAAATCGAACCAAAACTGTTCAAACCCCTAAGTACTAAATATGTGGATCCCAGTGCCTATAGTTGACCTTCTACCGAAAATATCAGTCAATCCACAAAGAAATCTTAAACGAGTATACCATTTGACTTTGCGAGAGTATAAAATGTTCGGTTACATCCGAACTTAGCCCTTCCTTACTTGTTTTTTTTCTTTTTTTTTCGTTTAACTTCATTTATTGTATATATGTATGTATAATATATTTATTTTGCCTTTTATGCTTTAAGTTTGACTTTACCTTTGCTCACATATATTACGCAATCCTGCTTTCTGCTTAATTAAGCGTAAGGGGTATTGCCGGAAAATTTTGTAAGTATTAAAATACTTAAATTTTTAGTTTTTTTTTTGTATATTGTGTTTGAATACACGAAGGTAAGCATGTACAGGTAGTCAATTATTATATATTATATATGAAATGTATGTGTATGAATGTTTATATATATTACAATAAACGGATTTTCGTAAGTTGAACCCGCAATTTAAACCGGTAAGTTAGACCAACTTGCCAGCCGTTACTAAAATATTGAACGGTTTTTTTTTTTTTATTATATTATTACAGATTGTTTGTACAAAATAAAAACTGTAAATTGAAATAATATACATATGTAAGTGCATAAATATTAGTAAAGGAATCGAAATGACTCACTTTGATTTCCTCCAGGGACTTTTGGGGAATATATGAAATTTCGTGTATATACAATAGTTACGTGTATGTACGTCTATGTGTGCTTCTGTGTTTCTTTCGAATTCCTTTGTCCTCTGTTGTTTCTGATTTTATGTGCTAGGTGTTGCCTTTGTGTATTTCTTTTTTGTTAATTCGCGCCCGTATGTGATATTTGTATATACTTGTAGGATTAAATTTGGTTTTAGGTCCGCACCCGGTATGACTTTGGGATTATTTTCGCGCCCGTTTTGTGTTTATTGTTGTTATTTGTATGTAAATTAGTTTAAGTTTTTATCTCCTGTTTTTTGTTTTTTGTCACACCATTTTTAAGTCTTAATTATTTTTTGTTTGTTTTTTCATATGCACACATAGGTTATTTTTTTTTTCTCAAGGAAAACACCGTGTATATATTCGGTAAAGTAAAAAGTTCGTTCGGTTTTTATCTAAGAGATGGCGTTATTGTCCATAGTCTTAGTGTTACGTGTCGCATCATGTCATACTATACGGCGCTGAAAACGTGTTTATCGTCAAAGATGGACACCAACAAAGAGAAAACTCGCTATATTTTACAATTTTTCTTCGATCAAGGTGAAAAAGCAGCCAAAGCAACTGAAAAAATTAATTTAGTTTATGGGCCCGATACTGTAAACGAACGTGTAGCACAAAAGTGGTTTGCTAGGTTCCGTTCCGGTAATTTCGATGTCAAAGATGCACCACGCGTCGGGAGGCCTGTCGTCGAAAATTGCGATAAAATCATGAAAATAGTGGAAACAGACCGTCACGTGAGCATTTATTTAATTGCTGAGGAACTAAAGATAAGCCAGAAAACCGCTTGGAACCAAAAAAACATGATGCACCGAATTTCCATCTGCGAATCGCTGCTGAATCGCAACAAAATCGACCCGTTTCTGAAGCGGATTGTGACTGGCGATGAAAAATGGGTCACTTACGACAACATCGAGCGCAAACGGTCGTGGTCAAAGCTCAGGGAAGCGGCCCAGACGGTGGCCAGACCGGATTGACGGCCAGGAAGGTTTTGCTGTGTGTTTGGTGGGATTGGCAAGGAAACATCTACTACGAGTTGCTCCCCTATGGCCAAACGCTCAATTCGGCCCTCTACTGCCAACAACTGGACCGCTTGAAGGCAGCACTCATCCAGAAGAGGCCATCTTTGATCAACAGAGACCGAATTGTGTTCCATCAAGACAACGCCAGGTCACATACGTCTTTGGTGACGCGCCAGAAGCCCTGGGAGCTCGGATGGGGGGTCCTAATGCACCCACCTTATAGTCCGGACCTGGCACCAAGTGATTACCATCTTTTCCTGTCCATGGCGAACGCGCTTAATGGTGAGAAGTTAGCCTCAAGAGAGGCCTGTGAAAATTTGCTCTCCGAGTTTTTTGGCAATAGGGACGCAGCCTTCTACGAGAGGGGTATATGAAGTTGGCATCTCGTTGGCAACAAGTTTATGAACAAAACGGCACTTATTTGACTTAAATCGGAAAAATTTATATATAGGTATAACTTTCTGTATATATGATTAGTACACTGCACAGCACTTTGGATGTGTTTTTTTAACACTGCACTGCACTGTCACTTTTTGGATATGCATATATATATATATAATATATAAATTTAGATTTTTTTTTTGTTGTAAATCGATAATGCCTTTCTTTTAGGCTCGAAGCACCATATTTAAATTCCAACCCTTTGGAATTATTGCACTCACCACTCACTCTTCAATAACGTGTCGCAACAATGGAATAAAATGAAATTATCGTTTATTTTGCACCCACTTAATAGAACAATCAAAGTGTATAAAATGTGTATAAAAATGCCTTATATTATAAGAAAAAAATGGAACTGCCCGGCTCAGGTCTGCTCATGCACGATACGCGACGGGAATCTGTACGTTGACGAGGTGTCTGCTTCGAATTTGATACGCAAAAAGAGGTCAGCCACTTCCAGTGTTTAGGTTTTGTTGATGGTTGGTGGGGTGATCGGCCGGTGTGTTGGATATCCTGGGTGGTAGTGTCGTTGTGTGAGGTGTATGGTGAATGTTGCGAGAGGTGATGTGGTGAATGTTGCTGATGTGTGATGTAGATTGTGTTAGTTGATGTGGGAGGTGTGTTGGTGTGTACGTTTTCGGGACGACGTAGGCTCATTTAGTCAACCGCCAATGTTTCTCTAATCTAGGAAAGACTTAACACCGTTATGTTCATACAGACGAATTAGCATCATTTAAATTTGTAATTTTCAAAAAATTGTATGATATAAAAAATAGAAAATTTCACCGCCCAGTCTTGTAAGGTATTCGCACTCTAAATATCTCAATTTGCTTATTAATGGATATGTTCAGGATGTAATTGTTAATGTAATTTTGTCCCATAGAACTCGAGTTACCAAAATATACTGAACATAAATATCAAACACATGTTAATAACTGTTTAACAGCTATCAATCTAGGAAAGTACATATATAATGTATGCGGTGCACGTTTAGAAATTACTTGTCCACTACAAATAAAATTCACAGGTAGTAATGCTAGTATACTGTCCTTCTATTCTTATAAGTAATCATGATTAAAAATAACATAATTTTTTAAATCTTAATTTAATTAAATGCTTAAATGGTGTTATATTTACATTAAAATTAATATTTTTTTATTTTATAGGTCACGTAATATATTGGATGACTTCCGGGAAGCTTATTATTGGCTATCGCAAAATACTGACGATAATGCCCGTATTATGTCATGGTGGGACTATGGTTATCAAATTGCTGGAATGGCAAACAGAACTACATTGGTTGACAATAACACTTGGAATAATAGTCATATAGCATTAGTTGGAAAAGCTATGTCATCTACGGAGGAAAAATCGTTTGAAATTATGACTTCTCTAGATGTGGATTATGTGCTCGTTATATTCGGTGGAGTTATTGGTTATTCCGGTGATGATATTAATAAGTTTTTGTGGATGGTTCGAATCGCTGAGGGTGAGCATCCCAAGGACATTAAAGAAAGTGATTACTTTACAGACAGGGGAGAGTTTCGTATAGATTCCGAAGGTGCACCTGCTCTTCTTAACTGTCTTATGTATAAACTAAGTTACTATCGATTCGGAGAATTAAAGCTTGATTACAGGTAAGGCTTGCATATATATTTCTATATATATTAAATGTTACATATTTTTTTTTTTTACCGGGGTTGTATAGAAAATAATATTCCCTTTAATAAGTATCTAAACTTTACAACAATTAAAATATAATAAAACCTACAAAACTGGAAAAAAAAATCACTCATTACAAATCATTATCATTTCACTAAGTATAAAATATTGAAAATACGTTGGATGTTTGTGTTATTATTCAAATAACATTCAACACTACTTAGTCCTGCCATAAGCTCTGTTACAAGTTCAGAGCGTTATAAAAATAAAACTATAATACATTGTTTAATAAAGTTAATATTATTTAATAATGTATATAATAGATAAACGATGTGCAAAATTTTTTTCGAAATCGTCTCCTTTTGATTTAACAGAATCCTCAAATGATTCGGCTATTGATCAATAGTGGCAGGCATAGTTACGCTATTAAACCAGGAATATTGCTTTTAAGCAACTGCTGGGTGGTTTTTGCCTTCTGTGCTGAAGCAGAATATTACTGGACGATCCAATGCTCTCCATCGAAAGGAGTATTGATTACCACGCCTTCTAAAATATCCTACACAGCTACACTTTTGCCCCAGTTTTAACCGCTTTTTCACAGAAATGAAGAGGTGTAACGACAAACCATTTCATCAGCTAGATGGTGCTCATGTTGAACCATTGGAATAACATTTTTTGCGCCTTTGGAAATGTTAGCGTAGATTTTGTGGTTTTGCTTATTAAAAACTTCTGCAACAATGAAAATTTTTCCTCTCTAAAAAGGATACTTTCATAGCTGTTGACCGCGTGCTCGCATCTGTTGAGCCTTCTTTGCTTCAACCGCGTTGTCACAAGATGACGTGTTGATCGACGGTAGGCTTTAATATGAAAATCACCTTGAACAAGTCTGGACATTGATCTGGTCGATTCTGTTTTCTACGGAGATTTCTCCGAATGCGTTCGTGGACAATTTTTATGGCTGAATCAGTTCGAACAGAGCAAGAACGACCACTTCTTCACATCAACTAATTTAAAAAAAAAAAAGATCAATAGTGCAGTGAACAAACAAGCATTCTCGAAATATTAACCGCAATACGATTTTCTTTCGTTCCACATTCCATTGTTAATAAGCGAAAGCAAACACTGAACTGACTTTCATATATGAGTGGACACTGCATACAAATTATAATAAAAAATAATATCACTTTTTTCTGCAAAGAAGCATAATATAAGTTTCTTTATCTATTTCCACTATTTGTGAACTATTAATATGTAAGTTATTTTAATAGTGCTGTTTTACATATTACTATTTTGATTAAGTTCTATTGCTATTCAAGTTTACATCGCTCTAAATCAGTGGTCCGCATTTCTTTGCACAATTGTGCAAGCAAACTTCACACGCTTACGCTCTATCGTTCAGTCGTTGTCGAGACATCGATAAAACAACATCGAGTATGGTCCTGCTGTTAAGATAAATGTGCACTGCACGAAATTTTTTGTCATTATTTATGCTTTATGGTATTATGAATTACATTTTGTGTTTTACTTTACTTAAATACAATAAAAATGAATGTTTTTAGGTTCTAATATATTTATTTTAATCGTTGAATACATAAAATAAATCAGAAAGCATGAAGATACTTGTTTAAACAAAGAATAGAAAAGATTCACAAAATTTAAGGTAAGAGAGTTCTCACTGGGTGTCTTTTATTTCGTGCTCACCTACACAGTCGTAGTTCCTCTCATGACGACCACTTTTTTTATTACATTCCTATACTGATGTAATTTCCTTTCTTGGAATTAGTTCCAGATTTGAAAAAAATTAATTTAAAGCATCGCGATAGTCAGTCAGGACAAAGTGCGTTTAAGCGCTTATATAAAAATATACGTATACCGAACCCACAGTTAATGAAGATTTATTGAATAGTGAATTAAAAATAATATAAAAATTTACCTAAATCCTGAAAAATAATCAAATAATTAATTCATTTTAATAACAAAATTTAAAATTAATCTTAAATTTATAACTGGAAATAACCATCGTTACTGGTTTAAACTTGAAATTTTTTTCTTTATTTAAATACAAATGAATAAAGAGCATTTTGATTTGTTAAATTATATTGTTACTTCTGTTGCAGTGCCTTAATTAATAGGTATTTCATGATCTTATTATCCTGTAATAACACCGCATTTGTAAGTTTTGTTCATATAAATAAACAGATTTATATAAATATATATTAAAAAAGTGAAATTTTTTTTTGCGATGTCCGCCCGTAATAGTCATGCAAGTAATTTACCGTCGAAAACAAAATTATTATGTATGGAATGAAAACATCTTTTGTTTTGTTTAACTATATTATAATTTTTTTTATGTAAATGCTGATTACATTTATTTTTAAATACTGATTTTCTTTCCCAATTTTTGAAATGAGAAACTTTTTGAATATTTTGCCGTCTGTTCATGCAAGCGATAACTTAAGTAAAAATAGATGTAACATGACAATGAATGGTACACGTCTTCATTTGCACACTAGGGTGGGTGGTATTGCAAAAATTCGGAATCGGATCACTGTCACGCACGCCCAAAAATGCCGTTAAGCAAAAAACTATAAAGGGCTATAAGTAAGCTACAAATTAAGATACAAAATTGCAATTTGGAACAGGTCGTAGAAGTATAGAAGAGCATCTCTAGTTTGAAATTTTTTAAAAGATGAGCATGGCCCAGCCCCCTCATAGGTTAAATTTAAATGTATGTCCAATCATTGAAGATGAAACAACCAAACTTGCTGAGGATAGGTCCCACATTCTCCTTCTCTGGGAAAAGGGTGGAAATGAGATGGTAATCACGCCCACTCCTTCATGCTCGGTTATGTTGAAAACTTCTAAAAGTGCTATAAGTCAGTAAATATACCATATATGCTACAGCCAAGCTTGTACTTAAGATATTCATAGGAATTGGCTAAGAAACTGTCTCGGAAATTATTTAATCAAATTAGGTGCGTAATATTATTAGAATCATAGATTCCAATTTTAAATTTTATATGATTTTTTTACTATACAAAATATAAAACAAACACCAATGAACGTATCGGAAAAAAATTTTGCACTAAAAGTGCATGTATGCGTATCACGGCCGTCAGTGGACGTCAATTATCGACATCACATTGTATTGAAATTCAGAAAGGATCTTTCTGCGATTAAAATGTGCTCTTGGTTCATAATGATGTCAGTTCAGACTTTCCAGCGGATTTGGAACCCGATATAGTGGTTTCCTACTTTCCATCTGATTTTAAACCGTTTATGTTGGCCAATGATGTGTTATTTTAATGAAACCGAAATCATTTTCTCAGCTTAGATCCTTGCCAATTGCGAGATTATAAAATCTTCGATCACACCCGTACTTTGCCCTTCTTTACGTGTTTAGTCCTAATATTCATATGTTTTAATTATTGTAATAATCCTACAATTTTGGAATGACAGTGTATTATAATTAAATACACAATACCCAATAGAATAATAATTATAATCGCTTTTGGTTCTATTTTTCAGGGGTCCTGCGGGATACGATCGAACAAGGAATGCAATTATAGGAAACAAAGATTTCGAACTTACTTATCTTGAGGAAGCTTATACTACTGAACATTGGTTAGTACGCATCTACCGCGTAAAAAAGCCATATGAATTCAATCGACCTTCATTAAAACTCAGTGAAAGGATACTAACACCAACCAATTATATCACTAAAAAGGTGTTATTATATTTTGAAAATAAATATTCAATTTTTAATACCTTGAATACTTTCAGAATCCTAAACGTCGTAAAGGATACATAAGAAGTCGACCAACTGTTATCAAAGGAAAAAGAACCAAAAAATTACAATAATAAAAGCCAAAAACTAAAACGTTTTTATTTCACATGCGACAAGCTCTTATTTTCGGTTTAATATCACTTTAGAAAATGTCATCATGCATAGCAAATTATATCTGTCGCTATGTTAATAAAAGCCTATTTTTTTTATAATTCCAATGTTTTGTTATAAGAGTACATTAAAACATATAACATGTTTCCTTAAATACCATGAATTACAAGATGATTACTACGACTATACTCTTAAGAGCTTGATATATTGCAGATATAAAACAACTCCTTCTACACCTGCTCCACCACAAACATAACAAGTGGATCAGATGAGTCAAGTAAGTTCGTGGCTTGCGCAATATGTTTTTTCACAGGCGTCGCAGAAGCTAGCGGAAGCTTAGGGAAATAGTTTATCCATTGTGGGATTTCCATCTGTGAAATATCACCTAGATTATGTGCGAACTGGACCATTTGTCTAAGCAAAGAGGTTTCTCTTAGTTGTTGTTGTAGCGATTATATAATGCCAGCTAGGGTGGTAAGGTTCAAGTTGGCTGTCATCGAAGTCATATTATGACAAGCTCAAGAAACTTGCGGTTTCGACGTGGTTAGTGTCATGAGAGCACTCATTGCACGCTGGACATATATTTAGTATGTCGGTTTCAATTCTGGATAAGTATGAGTTTAACCTGCTACAATATTAATAACGAAGTTGCGGAAGGGTCACTCTAGATTCATTCACAGGGTGAGGGTCGGCCAAGGTGTTAGTTGCATCTGCAGTCTGGTCGGCGTTTCGTTCAATGACGTCGACGGAATCAGGCAGACGACTGCAGGCATGATTTCTACCAAACGAGGAGTGCATTGCGTTTTTTAACCGGAAGCATGCATATCTCACTATGTACGTGCTCGACAGTAGACATAGGCATCCTTGAATATTTCGGCGTACAGTTATCTGACACGTCTGTAGCTAAAATTTGTCGGTGGTTTACCGTCAGAGTTTTGACATCATCGACGGAAATGTTGAGGTCCAGTTTGTAAATACGGTGGCCGTTGATTAGCCAGGGGAGAGTCTTAGGCTCTTTGCAGTGAAGAAGCGAGAAAGTTCTAGGATATTTGAACATATGCTATCAATTCTATTACCCGACGTCATTATAGTACAATCATATGCGGGGAGAGAACACCACCCTGCGGAACCCCCTGTTTAATTCTCCTTAATTTAGCTCGAAATAATATCCGTGATTGTCGACCGCTCAGATAGTTAATGGTCCAACTCTTCAGTCCTTCAGTGAGCGTAATTTGTTAGGTGTCATCAAGTAGCGTTTGAGGGTTGATTGTCAAAAGCGTTTGACAACGCTACGAGGACAATCCTGTTCTTGTTGTAACGGTTATCTAATAACCGCTTGGATGGTAAGGTTCAGTTTGGTTGTCGTCGAAGTCATCTAATGGAAGTCCCAGAAAAAGAACTGTTTCAACGAGGTTTGGGCATGCAAAGAGGTGGTTAGTGTCATGCGGGGACTCATTGCATGCTGAACATATAAACATGATACAGTATCCAGCACGAAGTTGAGCAAGGATCACTGTAGATTCTCGTGGCAACTCGAGCTCTTCGTCTGCGATGGGTGGTGGGTTGACTCCAAGTACGCCATTCACTGAGAGAGAGTCGGTGAAGGTGTTAATGGCTCTACTGTGAATGGCGGTCAGTGCATGTCTAAAGTTTGTTGCGTCCGAAGTCTGGTCGGTCTACTGTTCAATGCCGACGACGTAGCCAAGGACGGATCTCTTGATGTTCCTGGGAGGCGGTTCCGATTCAAGCAGACGGAGCAGGGGTGATTTCTGCGAAAACATCTCAGCAGAAACTGCTTAGAGTGGACCTCGTTATGTTCTTTAACAGGAAGCATACGGGCTTCGCTGCGTAGGTGTTTGATTGAAGACATCAAGAGGCATTCCGTGATAGTTCGGAGTGCATTGTTCTGACATGTCTGAAGCTTCTTCGTCTGCGTTGCACAACATCCAGGCGACCATATCGGTGCGCCGTAATTTAAGACCGGCCGGTCGGTTGCCCATAACGTTTCTTTGTTTTTTTCCCTATGAGCTACCGCCGGAATTTTAACGCCATCGACTGCAATGTTTAGATCCAGTCTGTACTCCTTCGTCAAGTTCGTGAATATGGTCGCTGTAGATTTAGTGAGGGAGAATGTTAAGCCTTTGCAGTGAAGAACCGAGAAACTTTAGACTTTAGGACAGACCTCTCACTGGGTGGTTTCTGGTTGAGGCCACGAGCTATCTGGGCGTTAATTACGCCGTGCTGGTATTCGGCTAGGCTCAGATAGTGTGAACGTCGGGAGTAGCATGGCCTCAAGTGTTTTCACTACTGGAGATAGGAAAGTTGGCAGGCTTCCCTGGCTTCAGTAGTGAAACCAATATTACGATTTTCCACACATCGCGTATGTCAAGTGTGGTCAGTGACAAGTTGAGGACCTTGGTGAGATAGCTTACTCCCGTCGAGCGCAGGAGTTTTAACTTTAGCATATATATTCCGCCTGCGCCGATGGACTAAGATGCCTTTGCTTTGTTAATGACACTCTTAAACTACTCGTCGGGAGTTATGGGAGTTGAAATTGTATTTATTTTTTGAGAGTATGAAGAATAATGTAAAAATCGGTGGGTTCCGTAACTAAAAAAGAACAAATTCCTTTTCAGCTGCTATATTGGCATTTTGTGCAACCGTCGGGTAACACACATTGGTTATATCAGGCAAGCTGCTACAGGTGCCAAAATTTCTGGTGAAGGCTTCGTCATTCATTGTGCAGAATATCGAATGGTCTTCCTGTTCCGCCAGTTCCATCCCTATAAGATCGTTTAAAAGGCAGGAGTGCCAAAGATTATGACGCGCGTTAAAATCGCCAAGTACCAATCCGTTCTCACCATGATGCAGCGCGCCTATGTTAAAGTTATATCCTGTTGGGCAACACGTAACTGGGGGATGTATATGTTAAATATTTCGAGGTCGACATCGCCTGACCGGATATCTTATATATATTGATTAGACTGAGTTACTCTCCGCGAGACCGTAGATCTTCCTTGTTGCCCCACTTCACTGAAGTGTGGCGCATTGTGGGAACTAGGTGCATTTTGCACGGCCGTATAGGCTTTGTTGCAGTATTGCTTTGGCAGCATTGGTTTACGTAACGTGAGTACCACTCCCTATGTGTCTTAAGGCCTGAACAGGTATTATAATGGCCAGACGCAGCAGAATAATTCCTCCGGACCCGGGTTAGAAACATATTACCGATCGAAATAGGGTCAGATATAGGAAATAACCGCCCTTGGCCGAATAAAATGCAGGTCAATTCTGGTATCCTAGAACCGGCTGTTGTGGTAATTGCTGCCATCGAGTGTACTACTGTGATCAAAAAATAAGCTGAAATTGTCATTTAAAACTCCGGGCATCAGGAAGGCAGGTACATTTTATACAGGTTGGTAGGGCTGTCTATAAGAATTGCCAATTGTTTCTCAAAAAATTGAATTATCTCTGAGTTACACGTGTTGTTGTAAACAAACAAAAGTGAGTTTTTCGATTTTTACAATGGTTGTTTTTGCTAAGCAAATAACTTGCTTAAATTTTTGTTTGCCGAAAGAATATTATTGTGCGAACCTGTTGGAAATGTTGTTGTAGGCCTTTGGTTATCAAAGTATGGTACAAAAAAACGTTTATAAGTGGTACAACGAGTTCAAAGTAGGCTGAGAACGCATTTAAAATGAACCGCGCTCTGGACGACCATCAACCAATACCGACGAGGACCACGTTAAAAAAATACTTATTGCTTCAAAATCGTCGATTGACATTTAGAGACCTCGCTGTTAGCGTTAGAATACTATTTGACTCAGCCCAATCATTTTGAAGAATGTTTTGTGTCTCAAACGCGTCAAGTCTCCATTGGTGCGAAATCGTTCAAATGCACCATGTCATATTGCATCTGTTCTTCGCGACTTTTTGCCAAAAACTCAATTTATATCATTTCGTAACCACCGTATTCGCCTGATTTGGCTCCGCTTCTGGCTATTCAGCAATCTGAAATGCTCAAGGTGGGGACACCGTTTTGACACGATTGACGAGATAAAAACAGAATCCAACAAGGTCCTGAAGGCTATACCGGAATAATTCAATTCCGACTCTTTCGAGGACTGGAAAAAGCGTTCACAAGTGAAAAAATAAATAAAGAAGTTACATATTATAAACAAATTCACCTTACTTAAACCTACAATCTTAGGATTGTTAGCAGTCGGGGTTTCTAACACCTCTCTTTTCTTCTTTTTAATTTAAGCGATAGATTGTGGACCTTGGTTAGGTAGTTTACTCCCGTTGACCCTAGATTCTTCAGCATCAACATGTTTATCCAGTCTGGGTCAATGGATTTACAATATATAGTATATATATGATAACTTAACATAGTTGAAGTTTGAAGAAATTATATTAGCGCAAACGCAGCAGAAAAATTCCTGCGGGCTCGGGTCGACTCAATGCAAATTTGCCGAACCAAACAGGCGTAGAACCGGCTGTCATGGGAATCGTTTCTCTTAGTCTTCACAGTCGGTTCCAGTGTCAGTGGTAACTGTTTTTGATTCATAGACGCGTTGTAAACGAGTGGATGATTTTCAGAAGATAAGTCGTTGAAAATTTTGTTCGTTTCTATGACGTTTTACCTTCAATTGTTTTTGCGAATAGGCTTACTTTTTTAATATCCCGTTCACGCCACATTTGCTTGCTTTTTGAAAAAAACTAGCAATTGCCTCCACCGAGACTCCGCAATATTTACAACGTGTCTGTCGATTAAATATCTACAAGTAGTCAGGGGCATATAAATTTCCTTTTTTCCGGGGTCTAATTGAGGAGGGTGGTGCCAGTTCTAGCTAGTTCATATGTTTCACAGTTACCAGGAATATCACTTTGTCCTGGAACCTATTGCAGGTTTATCGTGAAATAGGATGTCAGATCCACTTATCGATCAAAAAGTTCATTTACTTTGACGAAACTCTATGGAACTTTAGTCATTTTAAAGCCGCTACGCTATCTGTATATACATATGTATAAATATATTCCTTGTTGTGAGCACACTCCTTGTCAGAACAAGAATATTTTTTTTAAATTGCTGTGATCTCCGTTT